GTGTTCTATGAAAGTGTTTTTTAAATCCCTATTCCTATGTTTATTATTAAAAGGGTATGGGGTTCTCGACATATTTCTATTTTTATTTTTATTTTTTTGGCTCGGCCGGGCAGGTGCTCCCGGGCCACTCTGGTAGCCTAGAATAAAATTGAATATAAATCATAATTCATAGAATATAATGAGAATATAGATGAATCATCTAGGCTACCAGAGTGGCCCGTGAAGTTGTTCAGTTTATGCATAACAGTTTTCTCGTTTTTTTTGGTTGATTTTTTTTTATTTTTTTTTTGCTGGGAACTTCCCTGGTCCTTGCACCGCCGGGCCGCCCGGGAAAACAGGGTGACCCGGCGGGCGGCCCGGCTGGTAGCCTAGTGAATCATCATTTATTCTCTCATTCACATAAACTAATTTCTACGAATTTACTAAACATATATATCGTCAAACAGTGCTGCCCTGTAAACTGTAGGCAGAGAGGGAGGGAGAAGAGGACAACAACCGAGGGGCTGTGACAAACTGTTTCGTCGGAGTTTCACCGACCGACTCATCAGGAGGCCGAACCCTCAACAGTCTGCAGAATCCCCCAACTGATCACACTGTAAGTGATAATCCACCTTGACCCCCCGGCTGTGGTTAAGCATCAACGACTGCCCGACAACTGATACCCCTCTGAGGAGGTGGGGACCACCAACCACTGCCCTCAAGGTACCTGTGACGAAAATCAAAGCAGACTATCACTCACCCACACCAGATGCAAAACTCTACAGACTGTCGGTCGGTTCACACCCATCACAAGCCAGCAAAACACCCACGAAAGAAACAAAGAAAGGTCTGTCACAGCCAAAAATACACTCCACATATCGTCAATATATATTGTCACAGTGGAAATCGGAGCGGCAAGGGGGGAAAAATACAGAACAAGAAAAAGAAAAAGAAGTAAGGAAGGAAAGCCCCACCTGTTCGTCACATCTTACGTACAAGGCCAGCCACGTGGATGACAGGTTGAGCGCTGGCTGCCCCCATCCCCGTGTGTCATAAAGACCCACTTGCACGCAGCCAAAAGGCAAAGAGGTAAAGAAAAGGCGGAGGAAACCAAACCTCACAGAAGAAGAAAGCCTATTAAACAGACGAAGCAAAAGGCAAAGAGGTAAAGAAAAGGCGGAGGAAACCAAACCTCACAGAAGAAGAAAGCCTATTCAACAGACGAAGCAAGTGACACATCCCACAGATAATCCAATTACCATCCCACAGAACATATTTTTCTTTTTTCTTTTTTCTTTTTTCNCTTTTTTCTCAGGTTTCTTTTTTTGTGTTTTTCCTTCCTTGGTTTCTTTTTTTATTTTTTTATTTTTTATTTTTTATCGCCACATGACATCAGAGCGCCAAAGCGAAAAACAGAAAGAAAACAAGGAAAACAAGAAAAACTTAATTCGTTTTTAATCTTCTTCCTTACAACTCCCCCTGTTCAGAACCTCTTGCGTACAAGGCCGCCCACGTGGATGTAGGTTGAGCGGCGGCTGCCCCCACCCCCGTGTGTCAGAGTTAACCGGTAAACCTACAGGTAGAGAGGGAGGGAGAAGAGGACAACAAATGAGGGGCTGTGACAAACTGTTTCGTCGGAGTTTCACCGACTGACTCATCAGGAGGCTGAACCCTTTATTGAGGATGGGAGAGCATCATCCTTGACTCAAAAAGGCCACAGCCCAGCCCAGCCCAGTCTGGTTTGTAGTTTAGGGTTTTCGTTCGAGGCAGCAGGTCGGCATTGCACACAAAACACAAAAATGCCTACGAACATGGCCCATCATCCCGGATTAGATAGATAGATAGATCTCACTGTGTAGGGCTTCTCTAGACCCAAACGCCCGGTCGCCCGGTAATTGAATAGATGCCAGGGGGGTAGTACAGGCTAACTTAGGCAGGGGTGAGAGGGGGGAGGGAGGGGAGGGGGGGGGGGGTTACCATAACATGGAGGAGCGTGAGTGAGTTTTATCGTATTCCCTTCTGACTTGCCGGCGGAATAGGAACCGGACTGACGCTCCCCAGAATGGATAAGGAGCCAGAACCAAAAGATTCTTTTTTTTTAAATAAAAATTAAAAATTAACAGAACACCATCACTGGGAAACAGGGGAAAAAAAAAAAATCTGCAATATACCTGCCTATATATCTCAGATCCTCGATTTTTATTTTTTTTAACCTTCAGACCCGGCCCATGTGGCTAAATGAGAATAAAGTGCTCAAAAAAAAAAAAAAAAAAAAAAAAAGAAGATAAGTACACTTCAGCCTGTTATATTCCTGTTGATACGGTACCCAGGCTAGCTTCAAAGACTTTTCCCCTTCTCTCTGCTTGCTTACGTTTTCCATTTCCCTTTTCTCCCTTTTCATTTTCTTCTTGTTCCTCCTCCCCTTTCCTTTTTCTCCCTTTCCCCTTTTTCTTCTTTCGCCTGTTGCTGTCTCTTTTCATTTTCACTCTCGCCTTATTCGCTCTCAGCGGATCGTCGATCTCCCCCAGCCTCCTTTTCCCCCTTCCCCGTTCCACTTTCTTTCCTTTTTCGTTCCTCATCTTCCCTCCTCCGTCTTTCTCTTTCCATCAACACAACAGTATCGCCCTCCCCACTATCAACCCCTCACCATCATCATCATCATCATCATCATCATCATCATCGTCATCATCATCATCATCAAAGATCATCATCATCATCATCATCGCCATAAAAAATCATCGTCATCATCATCATCATCATCATCATCATCATCGAATATCAAACATCATCATCATGTGCGCGCAACATCATCCCCATCGGCATCCCCACCAATATCATCACCAAAATCATCGCCTCATCGGCAGGCATCCCCGCCAGCGTCCTCATCATCGTCATCGTTGTCACTATCGACAACACCATCGCCGACACTACCGTCTTCGCCCAAATAGAACGCCCGGTCATTATAGCTGTGTATTCAGCACAATTTTAGGTCCCGATGCGGCGACAATGACCGGGCGTTTTATTCGAGTGAAAACGGTAGTCTTGTCATCCTCATCATCGTAACCATCATCATCATCATCATCATCATCATCATCACCACCACCATCATCACCATCC